TTCTTATGGCTGAATAATATTACATTGTGTATATGTGCCACATCTTCTTTATACATTCATCTTCTAATGGAGAGTTAGGTTGCTTCCATTTCTTGGCTATTGTGAATAGTACTGCAACAAACATAGGGATGCATCTGTCTTTTTCAAACTGGGCTGCTGCATTCTTAGGGTAAATTCCTAGAAGTGGAATTCCTGGGTCAAATGGTATTTCTAGTTTTAGTTTTTTGAGGAACCTCCATACTGCTTTCCACAATGGTTGAACTAATTTACATTACCACCAGCAGGGTAGAAGGGTTCCCCTTTCTCCACATCCTTGCCAACATTTGTTGTTTGCCGTTTGGATGGTGGCGATCCTTACTGGTATGAGGTGATATCTCATTGTGGTTTTAATTTGTATTTCTCTGGTAACTAGTGATGTGGATCATCTCTTCATGTGTCTGTTGGCCATCTGTATTTCCCCTTTGTAGAACTCTCTGTTCAGCACCTCTGACTATTTTTTGATTGGATTATTTGCTTTTTGTTTGTTGAGGTGTGTGAGCTCTTTATATATTTTGGGTGTCAACACTTTATTGTATCTGTCATTTATGAATATATTCTCCCATTCTGTAGGATGCCTTTTTGTTCTATTGGCAGTGTCCTTTGCTGTACAGAAGCTTTTCAGTTTAATGTAGTCCCACTTGTTCATTTTTGCTTTTATTTCCCTTGCCTGGGGAGACATGTTCATGAAGAAATAACTCATAGAAATGTCCAAGTGATTTTTGCCTATGTTTTTTTCCAAGAGTTTTATGGTTTCATGACTTACATTCAGGTCTTTGATCCATTTGAATTTACTTTTCTGAATGGTGTTAGACTGTGATCCAGGTTCATTCTCTTACATGTAGCTGTCCAGTTTTGCCAACACCAGCTGCTGAAGAGGCTGTCATTTCCCTATTTTATATCCATGGCTACTTTATCATATATTAATTGACCATATATGTTTGGGTTAATATCTAGATTCTCTATTCTGTTCCTCTGGTCTGTGGATCTGTTCTTCTGCCAGTACCAAATTGTCTTGATAACTGTGGCTTTGTAGTAGAGCTTGAAGTTGGGGAGTGAGATCCCCCCTGCTTTATTCTTCCTTCTCAGGATGGCTTTGGCTATTCGGAGTCTTTGGTGATTCCATACGAATTGTAAAACTATTTGTTCCAGTTCATTGCAGAATGCTGTTGGTACATTGAATCTGTAGATTGCTTTAGGCATGATGCCCATCTTGACAATAGTAATTCTTCCTAGCCAAGAGCATGGAATGAGTTTCCATTTGTTAGTGTCCTCTTTAATTTCTCTTAAGAGTGTCTTGTAGTTTTCAGGGTATAGGTCTTTTACTTCCTTGGTTAGGTTTATTCCTAGGTATTTTATTCTTTTTGATGCAATTGTGAATGGAATTGTTTTCCTGATTTCTCTTTCTGCTAGTTCATCATTAGTGTATAGGAAAGCAACAGATTTCTGAGTATTAATTTTGTATCCTGCAACTTTGCTGAGTTCATATATTTTATAGTAGTTTTGGAGTGGAGTTTTTAGGGTTTTTTATGTACAATATCATGTCATCTGCATATAATGACAGTTTGACTTCTTCTTGACAAATCTGGGTACCTTGTATTTCTTTGTTTTGTCTGATTGCCATCGCCAGGAGCTCCAGTACTATGTAAATAACAGTGGGGAGAGTGGGCATCCCTGTCTTGTTCCCGATCTTAGAGGAAAAGCTTTCAGCTTTTCGCTGTTAAGTATGATGTTGGCTGTGGGTTTGTCGTATATGGCCTTTATTATGTTGAGGTACTTGCCCTCTATATACATTTTGTTGAGAATTTTTATCATGAATGGATGCTGAATTTTGTTGAATGCTTTTTCAGCGTCTATGGAGATGATCATGTGGTTTTTGTCCTTCTTTTTGTTGATGTGGTGGATGATGTTGATGGATTTTCTAATGTTGTACCATCCTTGCATCCCTGAGATGAATCCCACTTGATCATGGTGTATGATCTTCTACTTGATGTATTTTTGAGTGTTGTTTTCTAATATTTTGTTGAGTATTTTTGAATCTGTGTTCATCAGGGATATTGGTCTGTAATTTTCTTTTTTGGTGGGGTCTTTGCCTGGTTTTGGTATTAGAGTGATGCTGGCTTCATAGAATAAGTTTGGAAGTATTCCCTCCTCTTCTATGTTTTGGAAAACTTTAAGGAGAATGGGTATTATGTCTTCTCTGTATGTCTGATAAAACTCAGCAGTGAATCCATGTGGTCCTGGGGTTTTGTTCTTGGGTAGTTTTTTGATTACCGCTACAATTTCTTTGCTGGTAATTGGTCTGTTTAGATTTTCTGTTTCTTCCTTGGTCAGTCTTGGAAGGTTTTATTTTTCTAGGAAGTTGTCCATTTCTTCTAGGTTTTCCAGCTTGTTAGCATGTAGATTTTCATAGTATTCTGTAATAGTTTTTTGTATTTCTGTGGGGTCCGTCGTGATTTTTCCTTTCTCATTTCTGATTCTGTTTATGTGTGTACATTCTCTTTTTCTCATAATAAGTCTGACTAGGAGCTTATCTATTTTGTTTATTTTCTCAAAGATCCAGCTCTTGGTTTCATTGATTTTTCTTATTGTTTTATTCTTCTCAATTTTGTTTATTTCTTTTCTGATCTTTATTATGTCCCTCCTTCTGCTGACTTTGGGCTTCATTTGTTCTTCTTTTTCCAGTTTCAATAATTGTGACTTTAGACTATTCATTTGGGATTGTTCTTCCTTCTTTAAATAGGCCTGAATTGCTATATACTTTTCTCTTAGAACTGCCTTTGCTTCATCCCACAGAAGTTGGGGCTTGGTGCTGTTGTTGTCATTTGTCTCCATATATTGCTTGATCTCTGTTTTAATTTGGTCATTGATCCATTGATTATTAGGACCATGTTGTTAAGCCTCCATGTGTTTGTGAGCCTTTTTGTTTTCTTTGTAGAGTTTTTTTCTAGTTTTATGCCTTTGTGGTCTGAGAAGTTGGTTGATAGAATTTCAATCTTTTTGAATTTACTGAGGCTCTTTTTGTGAGCTAGTATGTGGTCTATTCTGGAGAATGTTCCATGTGCACTTGAGAAGAATGGTATCCTGCTGATTTGTGGTGTAGAGTTCTGTAGATGTCTGTTAAGTCCATCTGTTGTAGTGTGTTGTTCAGTGCCTCTGTGTCCTTATTTATTTTCTGTCTGGTGGATCTGTCCTTTGGAGAGAGTGGTATGTTGAAGTCTCCTAGAACGGATGCATTGCATTCTATTTCCTCTTTTAATTGTGTTAGTATTTGTTTCACATATGTCAGTGCTCCTGGTTCGGGTTCATAGATATTTATAATGGTTATATCCTCTTGTTGGACTGAGCCCTTTATCATTATGTAATGTCCTTCTTTATCTCTTGTTATTTTCTTTGTTTTGAAGTGTATTTTGTCTGATACTAATACTGCAACACCTGCTTTATTCTCCCTATTGTTTCCATGAAATAATTTTTTCCATTCCTTGACTTTTAGTCTGTGTATGTCTTTGGGTTTGAGGTGAGTCTCTTGTAAGCAGCATATAGATGGTTCTTGCTTTTTTATCCATTCTATTACTATGTGTCTTTTGATTGGTGCATTCAGTCCATTTACATTTAGGGTGATTATTGAAAGATATGTACTTATTGCCATTGCAGGCTTTAGATTCGTGGTTACCAAAGGTTCAAGGGTAGCTTCTTTACTATCTAACCATCTAACTTTACTCTCTTATTAAGCTATTATAAACACGGTCTGATAATTCTTTATTTCTCTCCCTTTTTATTCCTCCTCCTTCATTCTTTATATGTTAGGTGTTTTATTCTGTGCTCTTTTGTGTTTCCTTTGTCTCCTTTTGTGAGTAGTAGATTTTATTTTTTGCCTTTAGTTAGTATTTGGTCGGTCTGCTTTTTTTGCTGTGATTTTATTTTCTTGGTTAACATCTATTTAGCCTTAGTAGTGCTTCCATCTAGAGCACTCCTTTTAAAATACCCTGTACAGATGGTTTGTGGGAGGCAAATTCCTACAACTTTTGCTTGTCTGGGAATTGTTTAATGCCTCCTTCAAATCTGAATGATAATCGTGCTGGATACAGTATTCGTGGTTCAAGGCCCTTCTGTTTCATTGCATTAAATATATCATGCCATTCTCTTCCGGCCTCTAAGGTTTCTGTTGTGAAGTCTGATGATAGCCTGATGGGTTTTCCTTTGTCAGTGACCTTTTTTCTCTCTCTGGCTGCGTTTAATACTCTAACCTTGTCTTTGATCTTTGCCATTTTAATTATTATATGTCTTGGTGTTGTCTTCCTTGGGTCCCTTGTGTTGGGAGTTGTGTGGGCTTCCATAGTCTGATAGACTATTTCCTCCCCCAGTTTGGGGAAGTTTTCAGCAATTATTTCTTCAAAGACCCTTTCTATCCCTTTTTCTTTCTCTTCTTCTTCTGGTACTCCTATAATGCGGATATTGTTCCATTTGGATTGTTCACACAGTTCTCTTAATATTCTTTCATTCCTGGAGATCCTTTTATCTCTCTCTGCCTCAGGTTCTCTGTCTTCTTGTTCTCTGATTTCTATTCCTTTAATGGCATCTTGCACCTCATCCAGTCTGCTCTTAGGTCCTCCCAGAGATTGTTTTATTTCTATATTCTCCCTCCCAATTTGATCCTTTAGCTCTTGCATATTTCTCTGAAGGTCCATCAGCATGGTTATGACCTTTATTTCAAATTCTTTTTCAGGAATATTGGTTAAATCTATGTCCTCAGGTCCTCTCTTGGGGATTGTCTGGGTAATTGTGGACTGGATCAAATTCTTCTGCCTTTTCATGGTGATAGAGTTAGCTGTAGGCAGGTAGCGCATGTGTCAGCTGGGAAAACAAAGTCCTTTCCTGCTTGTTGGCCGCCTTGCCCTTTTCCACTACCTGTCTTGGTTACCCACACTCCTGGAACAGTGTTCAGGTTAATTCCCTAAGCTGCCATGGGCAGGGTCACCATCAGGGTACCCCAGAGCCCTGCAGGGAGTGGCAGGCACGCTGGGTATGCTCTCCTGGGAGAACGGCGCCCCTTCACGCCTTTCCCCGGTTTCCTCTGCCAGCGCCAGGCAGCTGCGCGCCTGCGGCTTCCTCTGGGTCTGGCCCGGGTGGCTGGCAACCGGGAGAAGATTCTGGATGGTTGCTGTGGGCACAGCCATTCTCTGCCTGCTCTGCTGCTGCGGTTGCATGCAGTCACTATCCAGCTGCTTGGCTGCTGTGTTGGGGCCGCGCTGGCAGGGAGAATGACTGGCAGGCTGCCTATCACCGTGAGTGGCTTCAGGGGTGCATTGCCACCCAGGGGGCTGGGGCGCATGAAGTTCCTAAGAGTTCCCAGCCTGCTGGCTTGAGTGTGTCGGTACATTTCCATCGAACTGTGAGGCCTCTGTCCCTTTAAGAATTTCAAAAAGCACTCACTTTTCTTTTGTCCCAGGGGCACCAGCTGCAGGGACCTGCTTGCAGGTTTTACTTTTCCGTTTCTTTAATGTCCAGCACACCGTGCAATGTGTGCCTGTGCTCCGGTTGCAGATTACTAAGGCTGGGTTTTTAGCAGTCCTGGGCTTCCACTCTCTCCCCGCTCCAACTCCTTTCCTCCAGCTGGGGAGCTGGGGTGAGGGGAGTGCTCATGTTCCGCTGGGCTGCAGCTTGTATCTTACCTCCTTCGTGAGGTGCTGAGTTCTCGCAGATGTAGATGTCGCCTGGCTGTTGTACTGTATTCACTGGTCTCTCTTTTGGGAATAGTTGTATTTGTTGTATTTTCAAAAATATATATGGTTTTGGGAGGAGATTTCCACTGCCCTACTCATGCTGTCATTTTGGCTTCTCCGCCTGGTGCCATTTTTGGAGCTCACTACTTGGAAACTTTTTCCTTTTCTTCCATGGTTATGGTCCTACTCCAGTTTTCTTCTGCTTCTTCAGGCAATATTGGTAATTTGTATTTTTCTAAATTATCTATTTTGCTGATATTTTCAGGTTTGGTTATATATGATCATATATAATAATTTCTTCTCTATGTTTATAGTGGATCACATTCCAAACATTATATTTTTTCTTTCTTTGTGGTTGCACTAGTCAGATATCTACCTTTTCATTCATTTTTCCAGGGAATTGGGTTTACCAGCTCTGCTTTGTAATTCATTATTTTAAGCTTTTATCTTTATTACTTTCTGTATTTCTTAGATTTATTTTTTTGCAGTGGTTCTCAATGTGTGGCCCAGGGACCCTTAGGGGTGTCCTCAAGACCTTTTCAAGGGATTGACATCCAAACTCTTTTCATGATAATATGAAGGCTTTTTACACCTTTTTTCATTCTCATTTTCTTGAAAGTAGACAGTAAGTTTTCCAGAGGCTATGTGACATTGAAACAGATGGGTATTCTAAAATAAGAATATTAATATGCTAAAATGCCGAAGAAAAAATGAGTATCCTGCTATCTTGTATTATGGTAGAGACTAAAGAGTTTGCAAAAATATAAACCAATGCCACTCTTCTCACTAAAACTTTTTGTTTTGGAAAATGCAGTCATTTTGCAAAAATGTATTTATATTACACATAATAGGTTTATTATTGTTATTTTAAAGGAATGAGTAATTTTTCTTACTTTTACTTTATAATATGGTACATATTGATAGATATTACCCACATAAACAAAACCTTTTTGTGGTTTTCAATAATTTTTAAGAACATAAAGGGATCCTGAAACTGAAAAGTTTGAGAATCACTGTTCTTTTGCTTACTATCTAATTTTTATATTGAATATCTAGTTTATTTATTTTCATTCTTTCTTTTGATAATGAACACACTTATTTCTATGAATTTACAAAGATTCCTCACTTTCTATGTGTAGCCTGTAATTCACATATATTAGATACACATACACATACATATACATATATATAAATATATATATATTTAGTATTATTATATTATATATATTTATAATATACATATATACATTAAATATATAAATAAATATATATATATATATTTAGTGAAGTTTTTCAGTTAAAAACCCAGACTGGAAAAATATTAACCAGGTAGATGTCTGATCACAGGTAACTATGGGCCCAGTTATAGCAGAAATAGTAACTCTCCGAACTCTGGTTTTACAAAGTGACATAGCTCTTAAGCTTATTCCAGCCAGGAATGAAAATATGTGTGCCTTCATTGAGAAATATATAGACTGAGCTGGTGAGAAGGAATTGCTTTGGGGGATGATAATGGCTACCATTGTAACCATTAAAATAGAATTTTGAAATTACCATAATATATTAAGTAGGACTTTTTTTTCTTTTTGTGTTCTAGATACCAGAATAATTTCTGTTTCTCACCTTGAAATGACCTGGGCTTTCAGAAGTTATTTTCCTCCATTGCTTGTGAGAATCTTGCATAAATCAATACTGTGATACTATGGAAAACCTGATAAAAAGATTATTGAGCCATACCAGATATATGTAATGATAAGGTATTATATGTTACTTTACCAGTCATAGATTATAATGTACAGATCTAACTCCATATTAGGATGATTTATATTTAAATAGTATTTTCTAAGTTCAATTTAATAATTTTTTAATGTCCATAAATATGTATTTTAAAGTATTTTTCTGTAATTTTTTATACAAAGGTAAATCCTTTCTGTATTGGCACCCATTAGTTCCTGGTTCCAGCTGGTTTCCTTCACACCTTTTTCTGTATATTTAAACCTTTTCTTCCCTTCTCTCCTTTCTACACCAGCATTTAAGCAGTCTACCTTCCATTTTTAAAAAAGGAAGAAAATGTCTTTTGACTTCAGGACTCCTCTGTTAGCTCTCTTCTCTTCACCCAAGCTCCTTGAAGAAGTAGTCTCTACTATGTGTTTTCACTTTCTTGCCTCCCAGTTACCTCTCAGCACAATTGCTTTGGCTTTTTTCTTCAGCTGGTCACTCACTAGAGACCTTCCAATTGTCAAATGTGACACTTTTCTATTACCTTGACTCTGCTGATAAGAACGATTTTCTTGATTTCTGTGCTATTTGTTTTGTTTTTTACTTAACTTTCTACACATTATTTTCACATGTTATCCATAATTGTTTTAGGTGATTTATTAAGCTTTCATTATAAACATCATATATGCTTTTAGGGAATTTGAAAAATGTAGAAAGCTGTGTAAATGAAGCTGATAAATAATATCATCCCAAATCCTACCATTCAGAGAGAGCCACTATTAATATTAAAGTGTTTTCTTCCCTTTTAAAAATATGTATATATATCTACAAACATAGATATATATACATATCATATATTGTATATATCACATCTATGTATATATGTATGAATATCATTGTACATGACTATGTATGTCATATATCATATTAAATTATCTTACAACATGGGAATCATATTGTACATAAAATTTTGTATCATTCAACATTTTTAAATGTTTTCTATCACTAAAAATTCCTCATTCTGACCTTTACAAGGTTATGGATTCTATCATGATATCATAAATTATTCAGTTATTCCCCTATAGTTTTGCTTCCTCCTTAAAACTGGAGCACCTGGTAGACAAAAATAACATATATGCATAAGCTTTTGCTCTTTTTTTCTCTAGGCCTTTTTGGAAGTTGCTGACAGCTCAGGCACAGTGTCAGTGATTATGTGGAATACCTTGTGTCCTGAGTGGTATAAACGTTTGCGGGTTGGTTTAGTTCTTCTACTTCAACATTATTCTGTTAAAAAGAGTTATCCATTCAGGATGCAGCCTCTTCCTGTGGATCCACAGAGCAAACGAATTTCTACAATCAGTTAAGTAGTCAATGAATTGGTTGTTTCATTGCTATTTTGTTTACATAAATTTGCAAATTTCCGTATCAGCCAAAGACCCTGCAAAATTAATCAAACTTAGACTCTGACAACTTTAAAGTCTTTTATTCACGAAGTTTTTAAGCAATCAGTTGATAAATATGCTTATTTATTATTACATTTGTTAAGAAAGTTCATCTTAGCTATTTATTGTTGATTAATGAATGAGCTCCACTTGGGATGTATTTATTTGTATTTATCCTTTATTTCTTTTTTTTTTGTATTATACTGTTAAGTTAATGACTTTAATATAGTTTTCCCTTACAATGAGGTGCTATTAGAAAGGCTTGTCAACATTTTATTTTGAAATAGTTTCAAGCTTACATAAAAATTAAAAGAATAGTATAAAGAACTCCTATATACCCTTCACACAGATACACAGATTCAACAATTGTTAACATTTATCTTTGCTCTGACATTTCCTCTCTCTCCCTCTCTCTCTCTCTCTCTCTCTCTCTCTTTCTCTTTCTCTCTCTCGCCCCCCGCACACACGCACACACACACACTGTCCTCAGAATCTCCTGAAAGTAGGTAGTACTCATCATACATATCTCCTTACCTCTAAACACTTCAGTAATATTTCAGTCCTTATTTCCTAAGAACAAGAACATTCTATTACCCCACCACAATAATCAAAATCAGGAAATTTAAGAGTGATAAAGTACTGTATATCTAACCTATAGTCAATATTCAAATGTTGCCAATTGCTACAATTTTGAAAGGGCCCTTCCTAATTTCTGTTGGTTAAACTTTTTTGGGGAGATAAATGGATGTGATAATGTAGGAAGAAGAAGAAAACTATTGATAATGGTCTAGTTCTTAGATTTAGTGGTAGACTCAAATGTGTTCAGTCTATTATTTAGCTGTATAGTTCATGCACATGTATATTCTCTCATATATGTTAAACACTATATTAAAGTAGTATATTTGTTTTTTCAGAAATCTGCCTGAACCCTCGAGATCCTCCAACTAATATAATTATCATTCCAGAAAAGCAGGTGAAACCAGAATGGAGATTGCCAAAATTAAATCACCACTTTACCACAAGGTAAAATAGCCTCTTGTAAAATACCTGAAAATACTGACTTTCAAGGTTAGTTACACTATCTGTTTAACAACTTTGTTGTTTTTTAGATCAGAACTGGATGATATGCCAGAATATCATATCTGTGATGTTATTGGCATTTTAGTTTTTGTAGAAAGGGTTCAGAGGTCAAAGCAGAAAGGTAAGCTTTTAAAATTGAAAGTCTTAAAAAAATATTTCATTGAACAGTTCTGTGTTCATATGTGTATAATTGGATACCGTCATTTATTCTAATAATCTATCCATATATAAAACTCTGAAGATTTTTGGTCATATCGTTGGATTCATATTGCTGATGGGACTTCAGAACAACCATTTATAGTGGAGCTGTTTTCTACATCTCAGCCTGAAATCTTTGAAAATATTTACCCAAGTACCCAGTCCAATATTTGTATCTTTTTATTTTTGAATTGGGGGCATTAACTTAAAAACTGGCATACTGTACTGACTTACAGAGTGGCATTATACTCTGTTAGCAAATTCAAGCAGTCTGATAACATATTTAAATTTTTTCTTTACACTTTGTATTTTAATATTACACTTTGTATTACTTTTCTATTCAGAATCAGTTTGGGATTGAAACCAGTTTTTAAGAAAACAGGTGCTCTTACTAATTCTCATTGTTGGCATTTCAGGAATAAAAGCTTAAGATTCAGTGAAACTAAAACATAGGCAGTCATCCTTTGCATCCATTAGGAAATTGATTAAGCAGTCCCCATTAAAGACAATGAAGACTTCACTAAGGTAAAATTAATTGGTAGAGAATTGGCAGACTGTGTAAATAAATAATGACAGTAGTAATGTGTAATTAAATAATGACAGTGGTGAGTATGATTCCATTTGACTATTAAATTAATATTAGGCTGGTGGTGTTACACCAGCTGGCCAATATTTTACTTACTTTGGTGTTGACTTTTCCCACTTGAATTTATTCAGACATTGGTATTTTTTGCTCTAATTTTATTTATTTGTAAGCACTTTAGTTATTCCCTGTTAAATATTTTATATAATGAATTAGTCCTCAAGTTGATTATGATAAGAAAAAAAGTATATTTAATACTTTTTAACAACTTCAGTGAATTTTTCCTTATTTGAATTTGTAACCGAAAACTGTTTTAGATAAGGCATGCTATTTTAACTATTTTCCAAATGATTATATGAATAAAACACTGATTGTTAAAATAAACATTTGCCAACATTGGGGAACTCCCAATCTTAACAATATGTAATTTTAAAAAATCAAGAACAAGATTAAACTTGTCAAACATCAGGAGACCTAGATACCATATACAGAGCTGTTTTGCTACCCCTTTATTTACTACTGCAAAACGGTATTAAAGACCACTCAGGTATCACCTCTCATTAGATTCCACCCTTTGCTTGTGAGATTAAATTATTTATCATAGGATTTCACCTATATGTGGAATCTAAAAAAACAAAACAAATGAACAAACAAATTTTAAAAAATATGTATGAAATAGAACTAACCCTCACCTCAGCTATTAAGGGAAAGGGCAGAAAGAGTTTTGACTAAAACTGAAGCATGGGCTTCTAGTGTGAATAGAGCCGATAGCCTCTCACATAACTTCTCTAAGGGCATCAGTGATAACCTCTGATGACAATTCCATTACCTCATTTTATATGAGTTTTATGGCCAGGTCTCTCTTTTTTCATCGCCACTTTAAATAACAAGCTGACACAAGTTTTGGATAATGATTTTTCACAGCAATGTTGCCAAGTATGCATGTTCTATTCTCTCTGATAATATGAAGTACATGAAATATACTTTCCTAAAGAAAGGTTTGTACAGACCATTGGTGAGATTTCCTCTAGTTCAGTAGTTGGCAACAATCACAATTTATGGACATCTTTTGACCAAGAGTGAAGAAAAAAATCATTAAATGAATGGTGAGCATTTAAGGGGGCTTCTGGCCAGTGAAGGGGAACGCAACCAAGGATCTTCTAGAATAATGCAAGAATCCTGCAGTAGTAGGGCATCTTTTTTCCTTTTAAGGAAAGTGAAGAACTAAGGGGATATACTGTTGGGTGTTAACTATATACTAGATGCTTGTAGATGTTAGATCTCTTATTGTACTTCCCGTTACCTTTTAGAGAGTTTATGTTTTTACAAATTTATAGGTGAGGAAACAAAGGTCCAGAGAGTTTAAGTAAATTCCTGGATGTCAAACATCTAGAAAGTGTTAGATCTGAATATCTGATTTTTAACAGCCATGAAATTAGCATGAGAAATTTCTTTAATAGTCCTATCTCAACATCTTTAACCATGAATACTTATATTTGTACAGTTTCTGAAATGGAGGAAAAGTGATACAAATTAAGATAATTATTCTTAGTCATTTGAACAGATTCCCTTTATCTTCGTTGTTAGAAAATGAAGAATTAGTAATATGAGTACAAATTAATACTGTGTGGCCCTATACAGTGGAAGGAGTCAGAGTAATTCAGGAATCAGTATTAGAATGGATTAATCAGTGGAAGCATCATAGAGAAACTAAACTCTTTTTCCTGTAGGAGATAACTGTTGACACTCAGTTGTATGCCCGATTAGAAAGACTGTTGTGCTCTTTAACTGTACAGCAAGCAGTGACTTTTAGGTGCCACCATTGTACTTTCTAAAGGAAAAGTAAGTGTTAGATCCTTTATCTAAAGGAAAAGGTAAGTATTAGATCTTTGTTCCTCTAAGTGTGATCAAAGGACTGGGAGCAGTCACTGGTATCACCTAGAGCTTATTAGAAATGGAGAATCTTGGGCCCCACCCCAAAACTACTGAATCTGAATTTGCATTTTAACAGTTGCACCAGGTGATTCCTTTGTTCATTAAAGTTGGAGAAGCACTGTGTTACATCCTGATCTTGGTTTGTCCTCTTTGAAATGCAGAAGTAATTTCGTGTTTTCATTTCTGCAGTGACAGATTTCGTGTGTACACAGTTGAAAGTTGTCAGAAATGACACTCAAGTACCTAAACTGCTTTACCTCACCACTACAAATGAAAGTCAGATATTTATTATTGGTGAACAATTGGTTTGTGTGTGCTTTATTGGAAATGTAATGTATTTTTTTCTTTATTAGATTAACTTTTACATTACAACATTCAACCACAAGATAGCTTTATTTTGACCTCCTTTATCACTGTAGGAATGTTTTCAAAAAGAATATTTAGCCTATGAAATATATTGCTTCTTGATTGTTTATGACTGAAGCAATGATTTTGACTCACTGGAAAATTGTGCTTATGTCCTTTGATGAGCTTTAATTCCTGCTTGATGTAAGGCAGATAATCATAAATTGTTTACAGATAGAAGACTGTTAGACCCTATATCACAATATAGATTCAATGGATATTTTCAAAACACTAAATAAAATTCAAATGTGCATGAAATTTTGGCCCTTGGAGCTCACATTTTTCTTACATAGCAAAAAGCCTCACTATTTGTCTATAAGTACATTATGTTTCTCTATTCAAAACAATAAAGGTAAAAGTTTCCAGAAGAGTGAGGGAATAATGTGGAATAGTGTGTGTACTAGAATGCTGCCATGTTGGTAATTAGGAAGTTTAAGAGTCCTAGGAAGTATGTAACCACATGTTTATGAATACCTCATTTTATATATACTAATATCAGATGTAAATGACACTTTTAAATATGTTTTAAGAACATGAGTTTAAATGCTGAGCTATATTCATAGTCAGTTTAGTTCATACGTGATGCCATACCTTCAGTGTAAAACATGATTTAAAAACCAATTTTTTAAGAAGATGTTGACCATTTGAGTAGTTAGAAACATCTGAATTATATATTTTCTTTTTATCAGGGCTTTTCAGTTTCCTGTAGACAGTTACACTTTAGTTCACTTAAACTTTGATATGTCTGATTTACTTAAGATTTATTTACTGTCTTTGGTAATTTTTATATTCATATTGAGTATAAACATCTGCTACACAGTGAAGAAGTGATCATATTTTCTCGGTGGCAAGAGGCTGTTTTAATTTACACTGTTTTTATACAGAAAATCCCATACAGTTTATTATATATTTTTTCTTATTTTTCTGCATTTTACCCTTCCTGCCAAGAGGTCATAAAAGCCGGCCGTATTCCAACGATACCAAGGTAAAAAACTTCCTTCAGTGGAGTAAAGAAAAGACTGATTCCGGGGAAATGAAGAATACGATTATTGGTGTATATTACCCCTATCCACCAGTGCCAGAGACATTTTTGAAATATAAGAGTTCTGTTAGAGTTATTAATGTAATTAGTAGTCCTTTATGTGTTTTTATATGATATGTGTATGGTATATGCTGTATCAGTTAATCTTTATAATTTTATAGGAATGAGCCAAAGTGTAGGAACACTCACTAATACTAATTTTGTCTTTATGAAGACGTAAAAATACATGTCATGCCTCTTAAAGGTTAATATTTTGATTTTATCAGACTGGAAGAAGGGAAAGAACATTGATAATCACTAACTGGAGATAATGTCTTGATTTAATGTCATGGAGATCAAATCTAACCTTGGTAGATCTCAACTCCTATGATATTACATGGAAAGACTAAAGGTATCAAAGGAGATACTGGATAATTTGATATCAAAATACTGACAACTCTGCTATGCTACTCTTAAGGAATGATATATATTGGTTATAACACAATTGAGCACTACTTTTAAATAAAAATGACACCAAAATAAATGAGATGCAGAATAGGCACTAATGACAGGCCTAACATTATTTTTGTATAATTAAAATGTAACAGTAGAAAAGTTTAATGTAAGTATATTCTTTTTAGAAAGCTATGGGAAAATTGCATGATTTTGGAAAGAAGAGAAACTTTGAAATACTGACATAACATCTAAATATTGACATCCTTTTGTATTTCATAATGCCAGCAATATGTAGTATATGGTTGAAAATATTAAAATGTGTGTTTCTATGCAGTGGCTAGGCAACACTTTATTGTTTGAAATATGTAAATTACATTCAATATGCAAAATTTCTGTCTCAAGACTCTAGAAGACTATCACAATTTTACTGATAAATATGTTTTGCCTATTATATAAAAATTATATAAGGGGATGATGCCAAATATAAACACAAAGTCTCTCAAATTTAAGTTATGTAGCAAGTTTATAATTTCATGTGGTGAAATTACATTGCAAATCTAATTCTTATTTTTATCATTTCATTTCTTTAAAACTTACAGTTTCCTTGGAATTAGTCTTTTTCAGTTGAGTCACTCTTCACAGCTTTAAATGAATTGAGGAGGGACATAAAAGACTTGCAGTATAGGGAACAAAAGCGCATTGCAATTCAGGGGATAATTACTGTTATAAAGTATGTTCCCACTAACTGTGCTACTGAAAGTGCCTCAGCATCAGAAACATTTCGAGTGGGGTGCCAGAGAATTAATAGTACGTCTCTGAAAGCACTGTGATCATAATTACAATTGGTACCTTGTATATTTTATTCAAAACTCACATGTATTGACTCTTAATGATGTAAACCTAAGAGCCAAAAAATTGTTTTTGTTTTTGTTTGTTTCTTCTGTTTCCTTTTTCTGTCACTTATTTTGGAGCAGGCTGGGCTGAAGGTCACAGCCTCTTGATACTTCCCAAGGCCTTTAGAACCTGGTATCTTTTTTTGCCTTCTGGGTAGTTTGAGCCTTTTATGATTGTCATTATTTGAATTCCCAGTTGGTATATAAGACTATGCTCTTTTCCTATGTTTTATCCTGACTAAACCTATAGGAACTTCCACAGGAAGTTTTACCTCTATATCTGGCATGTCAGTCTTACCCAGATTCTGTCAGAGGTAGCAATGACTCTTGCAGGATAAATGCTCTCTTGTAGGAAAGGCCAGTTCTGGAATCTAGGTACAATCAAGACAAGTAAGTTAACTTTTTCTGTGAGTTTATCTTTTAAAAAATTACTACTACAGTTCCTATTCATTTGGAAATAAGCATTAATCCAATTACTCATTAATACTAATATAAGAAGGACTTTTATTTTCTCTTCCTTTTAAAAATATTTTAATAGCAGATGAATTGGGATGACTGTAATCTTATCTGACCTATAAATCATTTTTATAAAAGTTCTATTATGATTTGCAAACTTTTGTCACACCTCTTTTAAGATTACAAAAAAAACGAGTAAATTAAAATTATAGTCTTTTCACAGGGAAATAATTTGTGTAAATTAGTTTAAAATGTTTTCTCTAAATTTTTGATTTTAGAATGCCAGCCAGCCCTCAACATCCCAAGCAGCTGGAAAAGAAAGTCAGACTCGGGAAAGATGTGATAAACGGCATCAAGATGATGATCCTGTGAATTCTCAGTGTTTTTAAGCTCCACGTACAAGTTTAAGGCCTACCAGGAAAAAAAGTTGTCTGCAAGGGCCATATGCCAAACCATAAGTAATTTTTAATAAGTATATACATAGCATATTCATTTCTGTTTGTTTCTGCCTTGTAGAATGAGCAATTGTATAGAAGCTGTAGGAGTATTCTGGGAAACTAGAAGCCCAAGATGAAGATGTTGGCAGGGTGAGTTCCTTCTGAGGGCTGTGAGGTAGAATTTGTCCCTGCCTCTCCCTTAGCTTCTGCTGGTGAACTGACTGTCTTTGGCATTCCTTGGCTTATAGAAACATTACGCTTATCTCTGCCTTCATCGGCACATGGCATTTTCTCTGCATGTATATCTGTGTCCAAATTTCCCCCCTTAAAAGGACACAGACCATATTGGACTAGAGACCCATTCTGGAGTGCTGGTCTACTCCAGTATGATTTCATCTTAACCAATTACATCTTCAGTGACCCTGTTTCCAAGTAAGGTCACATGCTGAGCATCATTGAAAATGTAATTGGTTATGTATTGGCAGTAATAGTGGTATTTGGTGGGAACATAATTTTACCCATAATATCTGCCCACTAGCCCCTAAGAATGAATGTGTCTCTCACATGAAAAAGACATTTAACCCATTGCAACATCTCCAAAAATCTTAACCCATAGCAATATCAACTCTTAAGTCCAAAATCTTAATCTAAATATATCATCTAAATTGTGTATGGATGAGATATAGGGTGATTCATCCTAGGGCAGAATTCTTTTCCATCTTTGGACTTGTGAAACTAGACATGTTATCTTTCTAAAATACAATGGTGAGACAGGCATCCAATAGGCATTCCCATTCTAAAAGATAGAAATTGGAAAGAAAACGTGGGTCCTTGCTCACAAAAGTCTGAAACCTAGCAGGGCCAATTCCATTTTTATTTATTTTTTATTTTTTTATTTTGATATCATTAATGTACAATTTCTTGAACAACATTATGGTTACTAGACTCCCCCATTATCAAGTCCCCCCCACATACCACATTACAGTCACTGTCCATCAGCGTAGTAAGATGCTTTAGAATCACTACTTCTCTTCTTTGTATATACTGCCTTTCCCATATCCCCCCCCAACTACATTATGTGTGCTAATCATAATGCCCCATTTTCCCCCTTATCACTCCCTTCCCACCCAACCTCCCAAGTCCCTTTCCTTTTGGTAACTTTTAGTCCATTCTTGGGTTCTGTGAGTCTGCTGCATTTTTATTCCTTCAGTTTTTGCTTTGTTCTTGTACTCCACAGATAAGTGAAATCATTTCATACTTGTCTTTCTCTGCCCTGCTTATTTCACTGAGTATAATACCCTCTAGCTCCATCCATGTTGTTGGAAATGATAGGATTTGTTTTCTTCTTATGGCTGAATAGTATTCCATTGTGTATATGTACCACATCTTCTTTATCCATTCATCTACCGATGGACACTAGTTTGCTTCCATTTCTTGGCTTTTGCAAATAGTGCTGCGATAAACATAGGAGTGCATATGTCTTTTCAAAATTGGCTGCTGCATTCTTAGGGTAAATTCCTAGGAGTGGAATTCCTGGGTCAAATGTTATTTCTATTTTTAGTTTTTTGAGGAACCTCCATACTGCTTTTGACAATGGCTGAACTAATTTACATTCCCACCAGCAGTGTAGGAGGGTTCCCCTTTCTCCACATCCTCACCAACATTTGCTGTTGTTTGTCTTTTGGATGGTGGTCATCCTAACTGGTGTGAGGTTATATATCATTGTGCTTTAATTTGCATTTCTCCAATGATTAGTGATGTGGAGCATCTTGTCATGTGCCTGTTGGCCATCTGAATTTCTTCTTTGGAGAAGTGTCTGTTCAGCTCCTCTGCCCATTTTTTAAGTGGCTTATTTGCTTTTTATTTGTTGAGGTACGTGAGCTCTTTATGTAATTTGGATGTCAACTCCTTATCAAATATGTCATTTATGAATATATTCCCCTATACTGTAGGATGTCTCTTTGTTCTACTGATGGTATCCTTTGCTGTACAGAAGCTTTTTAGTTTGATATATTCCCACTTGTTCATTTTTGCTTTTGTTTCCCTTGCCTGGGGAGGTATGTTCATGAAGAAGTTGCTCATGTTTATGTCCAATTTTCCAAGAGTTTTATGGCTTCATGACTTACATTCAGGTCTTTGATCCATTTTGAGTTTACTTTTGTGTATGTGCTTAGACAATAATCCAGTTTCATTCTCTTACATGTAGCTGTCCACTTTTGCCAACACCAGCTGTGGAAAAGCCTGTCATTTCCCAATTGTATATCCATGGCTCTGTATCTTATATTAATTGACCATATATGCTTGAGTTTATATCTGGACTCTCTATTCTATTCCACTGGTCTATGAGTCTGTTCTTGTTCCAGTACCAAATTGTCCTGATTACTGTGGCTTTGTAGTAGAGCTTAAAGTCAGGGAGCATAATTCCCCCTGCTTTATTCTTCCTTTTCAGGATTGCTTTGGCTATTTGGGGTCTTTTGTCATTCCGTATGCATTTTAGAACTATTTGCTCTAGTTCATTGAAGAATGCTGTAGGTATTTTGATAGGGATTGCATTGAATCTGTAGATTGCTTTAGGCAGGATGGCCATTTTGGCAATATTAATTCTTCCTATCCAAGAGCATGGGATGAATTTCCATTTATTATTATCCTCTTTAATTTCTCTTAAGAGTGTCCTGTAGTGTTCAGGGTATAGGTCTTTCACTTCCTTGGTTAGGTTTATCAATTCCATTTGATTTTAATCCTCCATAACTATCCTTTCTGGCAGGATATTGTGTCCTCTGTGCCCACTGGGGCGGCAGTCCCTTGGCCCTGAGTACTGGCCCTGTACTGGATATGAAGAGAAAGTCCTGCCTTATGGAATTGAGGAGGGGGTCTTGTCCTCTGGAACTGAGGAAATGGTATCACTCTTGGGGTCATTCTCCCCTTTTCTTGAAGGGTAACACATGATCATACCCAGATATGTCTCTTAGCTCATTTTCTGACTATAGAAGTCTAACAGCCTTCCTTCATTTTCTCCCACCTATGTCCCTGTCAGTCCAAGCTAGTGACATTCCTACTGAGATGACTGATTGGATCCACAAGCCACAGGTCTAATCTCTTGGGCAAATGTTTGTCCAGCAACACCCTTAGTGTTCTGTCCAGAGCAAGCTTTCTCATGCCTTGCAATATAGATTAGCTGAGAATTTTCCAAGTATTGAAGTTTTGGTTTCTTTTTCTTAGTAATTCCCTTTCCAACTTCTCTCTCCCCTTTAATATTTTACTACAAGGAGTGAAGGGAAACCAGGATGTGCCTTCAACACTTGGCTTAGAAATCTCTTCAGCTAAGTATGCAAGTTTATTGCATACAAATTTCACTTTCCATCCAACAGAACATAATTCAGTGAAGTCCTCTGCCACTTGTAACAAGAATCACCTTTCATCCAGTTTCCAAGTTTCCAATAACATATTCCTTATTTCTAAAACCTTACCAGAAGCACCTTTTACATTCATATTGCTGGCAATATTCTGTCATGATAATATATGTATTCTTTAAGACAACAGAAGCTTTTTCTACAGCCCTCTCGAGCTCTCAACAGATTCTCCTTCAAAATCCATATTTCTGCCAGCATTCTATTTAAGCCAATCTAGGCTTTTTCTATTAGCACCTCAAAACTCTTTCCGCCTCCATTTAATACCCAGTTCCAAAACCACTTGCACATTTTTAATTGTGTGTTATAGCAGCCCCCTACTTCCTGGTACCACAGTCTGTATTAGTTTTCTAGGTCTGCTGTAATGAAGTACCAGAACTACATGGCTTATACAACAGAAATTTTCTCTAAGTGCTTTGAAGACATTGTCTTCAATTTTCAACACTTTAGATATGTTCCAAGGAATGCTTTTCTTTGTTTAATGCTGCTTTGAGACTGCTGAGATTCTTGAATCTGTGGATTGATGTGTTTCATCAATTTTGGAAAAGTATCTGCCATTATCTCTTCAAATACCATTTCTTCCCCATTATTTCTTCTATTTCTATGATTTCAGTTTCATATATGTTAGCACTTATAACTGATCTACAAGTTTCTTATGCTGTATTCTTATTTATTTATATACATATATCACTCTTTTTTCGATTCTGTACTTCAGTTTGAATATTTCCTATTGACCTGTGTCTCCATTTAATCTTTTACTATGTCCCATCTCTATTAAACTTACCTGTTGAATTCATTGAATTGTTCTGTTTCCACCCAGTTAGCTGTACTGCTATTCAGTTCTGACACTAACTACCTCATTAGTGTCAGACTCTACAGATTTAAGGGCCCAGTCTTCCACAAGACTGCCCTTACTTCAGATGCTAGCCACACTTCAGCTGGTCCCAAGGCCACCAACACTTCCAACCAACTAGCTACAAATCCAGTGGTTCCTAAAACCCCCTCAGAGTCAATAGTTCACTAGAATGAAGCATAGAACTCAAGACAGCACTATCCTTCCAATCAGTTTTATTATAAAGGATACAGATTAGGAAGAGCCAAATGAAGAGACACAGAGCAAGGTCTGAAAGGATCACAGATCTTCTGTGCCCTCTCCTCATGGAAACCAGGCTATCATTCTACTAGCTGCACATCAATATGTTCACCAACCAAAAAGCTACACCAAGCCTTGATGTGTAGAGTTTTATTTGGGATTTCATTTCTTAGGCATGATTGATTAAGGCATTGGCCATGTTATTGAACTTGATCTTCAGGCCCATCTCCCTCACAGAGGTGGGACTGGACCAGTGTTCCAACCATTGAATCATATGCCTGGTCCTTCTGGTAACAGTTCTCATCTTCAAGCTATCTAGTGGCTCACCATAAGTCACCTCATTAACATAACAAAGACTCCTGTCACTAAGGAAACTCGAAGGGTTTTTGAAGCTCTGTGCAAGGAACAAAGATCAGGTATATTCTTTATTGGATGATAGTTGTTAA